ACAAGCCCTCCAAAAGAAAAACACCAAAAACCGCCCTGAACTTATAAATCAAATACTAAAAAGCTCAAACGATTTAACTAAGGCAGGCAAACAAATAGTTTTCATATGGATCCCCGCCCACGTAGGAATATACGGCAATGAAAACGCCGATAAAGCAGCTAAACTATCCCTTAAAATCCCAGAAATAAGCTTAAACCTACCCATCTCCCAATCAGAACTTAAAAGTATCAACAAACAAAAAATCACCAAAAAATAACTTATATCTAAACTCAAATAGCCAAATCAAAAAGGTTCTGAAAAAAACACTAACCAAACCAAAAATTCTACATCCGTCCAAAATAATCGACAGAGTAATCACTAAACTCCAAACAGGACATACCAACCTAAATAACCACCTCAAAATAAAAATAAAAAAAAGGGCAACAGGAACCTGCCCACATTGCAAACAACAAGAAACCTCAGAACACGCACTCATACACTGCACCCACTACCTAACACACCGAACTACACTACAAACCACCCTAAATCTAAATAAGGCTCTTACTCTAGAAGCAATCCTAGAAGCAATAAAATAGAAAAATTCAAAGCCTTAGGCGTATACTTAATCAAAACAGGACTTATAAATCGCATTTAAAACCCCAATAAACTACCAAAACCAAACCTAATCAAACTAACAAACTTCCATACTCAGCTCCCTTAGTTCGCCCCCCAAACCCTCATGGCATTTTTTTCCAAATCTCAAAATTTCCAAAATTCTATATAAGCAACCACTTAAACACCCCTATTGGATTTCCAAACAACTTTTTCCTCTTTTCGGTAAAAACATTAAATGGCCTGGCCGGGCACGTGTGCGAAATACGCTGCAGTCGGAAAGCGCACGTAAAATCTCCAATATAAGTCAGTAAGTATATAGGTAGATATAATACTAGTCTATAGATGTAAAAATGTGTTGTAATTTCAGAAGCGCTTTGACAGTTATTAACACGTGTCGTGTCAGCCCTATGACATTCGCGAATATCCACTTGCAGAAAACATCCTGTGTTGGTTAAACATGAATTAGTAAAGGTTAAAGGGATGCCAAACACGTTAATTAATGAAAGAAGAGAAGTCAAAACACTGTCATTTCCTGCCCAGGACATCACAACCCTACACGCTAAGGTCGGTGAGAAACCTTCTCATCAAAGAAAAGACACAGTCAAGACACTGACTTTTCGGTATATAGCTATAATTATCAGTTTATTACAATGCTGAAGATGCATTTTGATTCAAACTCAATATATGAGCAAAACTATACGTTTCTGGACAATTGAGATCTGCCTAGATATGCAAGTTTCGTTTTATTATTCTGCAATCCATTTTTAGTATTACCCGCTTGCCCGGCCCGGCCCGACTTTTCTTGGCCCGACTTTTCGGCAATCCCCTCAGCCTCAGCCTCATGGTGTGTATTTCTAACAGGATATGTACCAACGCAAAACACAACTCAATGATAACCTCTGCGTGTGTACATGTTACTGTGCAAACATATTCGTCTACGGACATATTGACGGAAGGACATATTCATGCCTGGACAGGTCCTTGTATTAACTTATTGATGTATGGACATATTGGCGTATTAGATGAAGGTAAGGAAGTTAGAGCTGTATTTTGGGACGTAAGTAAAGCTTTTGATAAAGTTTGGCTCAAAGGAATAATTTATAAGCCACACCATTATGGTATTTGTGGAAATGAATTGAGATGGTTTGATAGTTACTTAGAAAATCGATATCCAAAAGCTGTCTTGGCAGGTGTGCCACGGGGCTCGGTCCTAGGACCATTATTGTTTATTATCTATATCAAGACATTGTTGAAGGAATAAATAGTAATATAAGACTTCTTGCTGATGACACATCTTTGTATGTGATCATAGAAGATCCTGATATAGCGGCTCGTGATCTCAATAATGACTAGGACAGGATTTCAGAATGGACTGCCAGATGGCAAGTTAAATTTAGTCCCGAAAAAACTGAATCTATTCAATTTACCCGTAAAGTAAACCCTAGTCGCAAACCTAACTTATATATGAATGGTACAGAAATCAAAGATGTACAAAGTCATAAGCACCTTGGTATGACTTTACAAAGTAATTGTACATGGAAAATGCACATTGATGATATTGTAAGGAGATGTTGTCCTCTGGTTAACTGTTTAAGGAGTTATAAATATCGTCTATCCCGAACTACCTTAGAAACTATGTACAAATCATTTATTTTACCATTTTTGATTATTGTTGTCATATTTGGGACAACTGTACTAATGAACAAGCTAACTCATTGGAAAAAATACACTTAGATGCTCTTAGAACCGTATGTGGCGCTATCCGGGGTACGAGTCATCTGAAGATTTACAATGAAACAAATTGTAGGTCATTAAAAGACAGAAGATACAACTTAAAACTGGTAATGTTTTACAAAATGAATAACCATTTATCCCCGGAATATCTTTGTAGGCTTATTCCTAATACAGTTTCAGGAAAACACAAATTATGACTTAAGGGATAAAACTAATCTTCAAACAGTGAAGTGTAAAACAAAAGCTTATGCAGATTCATTTATACCAGCCACCACACAACTTTGGAAAATGTTACCAGAAAACCTAACGGGGTCAGAGACCGGTACACAATTTAAGAATTTGCTTCACGTAAAGGGAGATAATGCTATACACTGGGATTTAAATTATGGAAGCAGATTATGCCAAATCATTTACAGTCGCCTGAGGCTTGGCTGCAGTACTGGTGTATGGACATATTGATGTATTGACGTACTGGTGTATGGACATATTCATGTATGGATGTATTGGTGTATGGACATGTTGATATATGGATGTATTGGTGTATGGAGATATTGATGTATGGACGTACTGGTGTATGGACATATTGATGTATGGACGTACTGGTGTATGGACATATTGATGTATGGACGTACTGGTGTATGGACATATTGATGTATGGATGTACTGGTGTATGGACATATTGAGTTATGGATGTATTGGTGTATGGACATATTGATGTATTGTTTGTTTTTCAGTTTTAGTTTGATATAAAGGCTGGATTCCATCACATTTGTTAAAATGTATATATAATGAGAGGGACACATCTATTTCTGAGACGGTTATGGGACTTACGGATAATTGAATATAAATTACATCATTTGTATCTTTTTAAACAATAGTTTGTAACGTGTCATCTTTGATCTACTAGTTAAATGTCTCGATATGTTATTTGTTCAGTTATATTTGTATTTAAATCCTGAAATGCATAACATTATTTTTGAACATTTACCGAAATAATGAGATGGAGACAGTGGCTTCGTGACGGTTCATAACAAGCGGCTTCATCTAGTTTCTGCCTGAATAGGCTTCTACGCTCATTTACAGTGGAAAGACATTTTTTATTAAATCCAGTAGTCGCATAGTAGTCAAAAACGTTATTTTAGATATAAAACGCGAAAGTAAACTGTTCATTTTGTTTTAAACATGCCATTGTTGTTGAAATATTTGCGTAATATTTTGTATTGTAAATTTAATCTCATGAGCAAAAAATATTCTTTTGTGTGTACATCTTAATGTATGTATTTTGGACAAAATAATTAACTGAACATTGTTACGATCGTTACACCTGCACATTAATGTTACAAAACATGCACTTTTTGTGATACATGACTTGCGAATGTAATTATTCCAGAAAAAGAATACAGTTGGCCAATCATTCTGTGTAGTATTCGAAATAACTATAATATTTGAAAATAACTAACAGAGAACAGAGTATGTAATAAGTCCATTTTAACAGTTCCATTTTCCGATGGTTAGTAAGCGACTTCACACAGTATCACCCTTTGACTGTACACACTCACGCAAGTCATCAGGGGCTACTTTCCCACACGTTCACAACAATGCAGTTTTGTTTTAATTTTCTGAAAGTATATATTGATTTCAAGAAAGTGAATATTAGAACTGTTGATAATTTCTTTCACTTTTTATTGCTTACAAAAACAATCTCATTTCTGCAGATTAACCAAATGGTGTAGGATAAACTACAACAACCAAAGTGTCTTATGATAGTGAGGTATTACGGATACGATTACTGGCGTCTGTCAATAGAAAAAAGTTGTCCTAATATTACCACCGACTCGACCTGGAATACTCATCCACATACTCAAAGGCTTAACTAAGGATAATTTGTGCATTATTTGTAACATATAATATCAATTATCTAAATAAAGTGTCATTCGTGCATAATACAGTCTACGAAATCCGGTTTTTTATGAAGTATGACACTGAATTTCACAAATTTTTCCACGCGCATGTACACATTGTTGTAATTCTATTATATATCTCATAATTTTAATTATTATTCTGCTTAAACACAAATCTTCCCGGTGGCAGACAATGTATATTTTATTATTTCTAACTTTAATAAGCAAACGTACCGATAGCGGCCAGCAACCAGCTCCGCACAATTCTCATTCCGAGTGAGGAAAAGCATCTATTTAGGTGAGTGAGTGAGTATGGTTTTACGCCGCTTTTAACAATATTCCAGCAATATCACGGCGGGGGACACCAGAAATGGGCTTCACACATTGTCAAACATTGTACCCATGTTGGGAATCAAACCCGGGCCTTCGGCGTGACGAGCGAACGCTTATAACCATCAGAAAACCACACCGCCCCTTTTCATTTAAGAGCACGTACATGACTGAGTAATGAATAATACATTTCCTGCGTTTGCAAATAAGTGTAATATTCTGTGATAAACACCAGCGTCAGTACATACTTGCAGCAAGTAGTACACCTACCAATGATAGACGCCACTACCAACAAATACTTCCAGTAGGTGTTAAATCCAATGATTGACAGTAACAACAACAAATACAATAGGTTAAAATCCGTGATTAACGCCAGCACCAACTTATATTTACAGTGGGAGTAACATCCAGTGATTAACACTAGCATCCATAAATACTTACAGTAAGCGTAATATCCAATGATAAACACCAGTGCCAGCATCAGACCAAACCTCAGCGAAGCCATTGCTGTAAGAATAATGTGAATTATTTTCAGTAATATATTGATATTTGCTGAAGTGAGTCGGTGATTGTTCTTTTAGGCCGCATTTAACGGCATAATATAGGGCCACTCAAACCAGTAAGGTCCAACGCTAAGGGGTACAATGACAGAGAGACTGACCACCCAATGCAATGTCATGCTTCTTAAGACAACAAAACCCTGGTTACAAATAGTTACCCTGGTCCCCAGAGGAATTTAATAAGTATGATTCTAGGATGGTTGTATTCTGAAGAACTTTACTATTGATTTTCTAAATATGGAAACCAAGGTCAAAAGAAGAATGATTTTAATATTAACTTTAAACATACGTCCTTACAGTCACAGTTGTCATATATGTGCTCCTTGTTTCTAATGGGTACACAAGTGAGTGAGCATGTTGTTTTTACGCCGCTGTAGCTATATTTCAGTTATATCACGCCAGGGGACACCAGATATAGGCTTCACACATTGTACCCACGTGGGAAGTGACAAGCAAACACTTTAATCACTAGGCTATCCCATCGCCCTCGGCGTACATGGGGTGTGCCTCTATTTATCACACAGGACTCCCTGAACATCTTTCTGAATCGAAATGTACCACAGAGTACGGGGTACGTGAGCGCAGGATGGACAGAAAAGGAATGAATACATTGTGTGCACCAACCCTCCATCTTGAAAGGCTACTCATGTTTGACGTTAATTTGCATACTATTACCAGGGACAGTCTCTATTTTTCCATAAACGTTCTTGTTCATATCTAGTCTAAGAATTAAAAACATTTACTTTTTAGAATTTAGGTGGAACAACATGAAGATATATACATCCTGATATTGTCTTTGAGGCATTTCCACTAATAAAGAATAATTTCCTGAATTGAATAAGCCTTTGTCATTTTCATAATGTGTCCTGTCCAAATTTCCTATTTCAAAATAGTGTAAGGAAGGGAGAATGTGTCTTCGTGTGATTTAATATGGCAATGTGCACCGAAAAACTGGAAAGTACCCCGCCATGATATAATTCCTATCGGCTAACAATTGCCTTAACTGCATCTGTATTATCCACATTTTGTAAAATTATAATGCTGCTATTTAACCCTTTCAATATGTCTCGTAACTGAACTCAGTCCTGTATCACTATTTACTGAAGCCACAGATATATATAGTATATTTGTGAATAGTGATGTATACACTATTGCCTAGAAGTTCATTCCCTTTAACGGCATGGGCAACGCGTGACGCCAGCCGTGGGCAACCCGTTGAACACGGGTGTGCACCCCGTTCGCCACTCGTGTGCAACGCGCAACACACTCATTAGAGAGAGAACAAACATTTGACCAAAGGAGGACCCACATTTAGCTGAGATTGGAAGTAGTAACAAGGAGAGCATTTTTTTATATTGTCATTTTTTTTTTTTTTTTATATGATTTACGGCAACCATTGTCTGAAAGAACATTTAAAGGCGTATTACTCTGGAGCCATGTCATCTATATGTCTTGAAACATTTAATTGGCCTTATTTATAAGATGCTAATCCTTATTGTTAATCCCTATTTTATTGTACATCGACTGTCTGCCACCCAGAACGAGTTGTTCAATTATGTCACTGATGAATTATTGTTTACATTTACTTACTAAATGTCAATTGACCTTTGCTATATAAGCCTTGATCCAGCACCATGGATGAAAATACAGAAAAGGAGAGGGAGAGAGAGAGAGAAAGGTCTTACCCTTAGCTAGCCTAGCTAGGATTAGGCTGGGTGCTCCGGGGCACCAAGAAAACAACCACTACTACCATGTGCTGACCTGGCACATAGTGTCTTTTGTATGTATATATCTAGCTGTATAAAGTAAAATTGTATATACTGCAAGCCATCGTCTCCAAGTTGTCACTTCCTACTGAGAACCATACGTCAGCCCCTTGCATATACGAGTATGCAATTTTTTCATTAGCAACGTCACGTGTGTCTGCAACGCACGTGCACCAGCGCGTTGTTAATTTCCTGACGATTTATGATATGTATTTGATGATGTCTCATTTTCAGATGTGATTTTGTTGGAAAATATGAGTACCGTTGTGATCACTTTCTTCCAGCTTATTTATACGACCATTGGCTTCTACGTGATCTTTTGCGATGGTGTTAAGATAATACATGATCCTGGAAAATTTTAATGTCATCGTCAAGTTTGTGTAAATTGAGACTCTAGGGAATGTAATTCTCACAATTTGTGATATCAATAACTACATTTGATTTTTAAAATATTACAAATGCTATATAAATATCAATAAATATAACATGATGTCATAAATCAAATTTGAGATATAAATTCATTCTTTGGAATCAATAAATGATTTACCGATATCATAAGATAAGAAATAAATAGTTACAAACGGCGTCTGATATAGTGTTACTTTTGGTTTTATTGAGTAACGCGATTGCATCACGGTTATAGTGTTAATTGCTAGTCTGTTCCTTCACCAATATTTCTTTCATCTTGTTAAAAACTGTTTAAAAATGTCAACTTATAATTAACTATTATCTATAACCAAGTAACAAATACCAACCCGACCTGCGTTTATTTATCTCTCGAGCGTTATCATTATTAACAACTGTCTAAGTGGATATGCTTATACTAGAACATCGTACTAATTACGGAATGACACATCATCTCAACGCATTTACAAGTTAATCGCTTGATAATCAGGAAGTCTAGCTGTCTGTGAGCGTGGCTGAGTTAGGTTACATGTAAAATAGGAATCGTTAAACGAAATAGGATTTGAAATGTATCCAATACTTCCAACTATCAGGATACAAGTTTCAATCTGTCCGGCATAGCACTTACATCTATAGCATAGTACTATAGCTAAGTAAATACCACTTTAAAATGTCACTGTTCATCGTATTTAAAGCAGACACGGTGGTTAAAGTGAATCTCATTTCCCCATACCTACCCTCAACATAGTCACATCACAAGTGTTCGGTCCGACTTGCCGTCAAAAACCTCTAAAACCTCACGGATGTATCATGAAATGTGTTTACATATATAGACTTGTATCATATCTACCTAAATACCACTTCATAGTGTCACAGATCTTGCTATTTAAAGCAAGCACGTTGCTCAAAGTGGAGCCATTTCCCCTCTACATTCTTAACATAGTCTCCATCAGATGGGTTTGGTCTGTGTTCAGTCCGATTTGGCCCCAAGATAATTAATGTAATTTCATCAGAAGACGTTTAATAGGTCACACTGTTGTAAAAAAACGTGTTTATTCCCTTATCCGATAATTACAGCGTGTTGTGATCACTACATATGTCTATATCCTAAACATGTTTGGAATTGTTTAAAACCCAAACATGTTCATAATCTAAACGTGTTCTCAACCAAATTGTGTTACGAATATTAATAATCATGATGTTAATTTCTGTCAGTTTTGCTGAGACATTTGCCTGAAATATTTTGCTTTGCGATCGTGACAATAGGACAGCTTCAAAACCAAGGGCTCCCAAGTTAAAATTTGTCAGATCAAATACGTACCTCTCAACAATCAAGGACTCCTGCACGCTGATGTATTTATCAAAGCAAAATGAAAACCAACACTTTTCAGAGATTTCAGTATTTAATATATTAATATGTTTAGATTTGAAGATATTAGCAATATAAGGTTGTGTGACTGATCATTTCAGACTAATTATTGATTTCATTGCCCTAAGAAATGTCCCCATAAACCTTTGTAAATTGAATATATCAATTGTAACGACAGTTGACTGTTGCTGTTAAGTCGCGTAAGAGTTGGGTATGGAAATACCAATATTCAGTAAATTAGTGGCATCACTATTTGCACTCAACATCGTTGTCCAAAATGATGGTGCAAAACTACCTTTGTTTCTTTTTAACATAATCATTTGCACCATTTTTTCCTTAACTCACTTGTATTTTTCAGGGCATTATCAATTGCAGAAGCCCGAGTTCTTCCATCAACTGCCCGGCAAAGGAGGGCAGTGGAAAAGACAGAGGGCTTCTGCAAATGATAATGCTCTGTCAAAAAGCGTTGCCGTTATTATAACTAAAAAGGGTAGAACTTGTTATCAAATAGGAATAAACAACAATATCGCTTTTAAAACATTTACTGTACACATTTACACACAACGAATATCACTGCCCCTCTTTTACAAATGTGAAAACGTCATAGAACAAACCAGATGACGTCACTATTGAACATCAATATGACGTCACCTAACAACGAGCCGGATAATGGCCTCTCGTCAAGCAATATCATGCATTATTATGCCTCAAAGTGAGATTGACCAATCAGAGAGTAGAACTACTAACCCTATACATCAAAGATGATTGTTGCTGACCAAATATGAATCGGTGTACCGTCAGTGACCAAAACCCACCTCACATATTTCACATAACAATTCTGGTACAGAAATTCGTCATTCGACACTGTTTTGTGTTTTAATATCTTTAATTGCGATGTGCAAAGACATTAATTTTCAAAGAAACCACGTTCATGACTTTATTAATAATTATAGAGAGAAAAAACTTACAACGGATGTAACTGATTTACAAATAGCAACGTCATAGAATATAATATAGGATGACGTCACAAACAAGAAATTAACATGCAATTAACGTCACATTGTTATGAAAATGCTATCCATTTTACCTATAATACTTGTTTAAACGTTCACATTTAGCGCATTATGTATTCAGTTGTTACATTAAATCGTTGTATCGGAAAGATATGTACTGGCCCTGTCGTTTATACCAGTTGTAAGTGTCAAGTTTTCATGTGCGATAAAGACACCAAATAATGTAAATTTTCGGCATAATAAATTCGTTATTGTGTCTTTAGTTGCCGTATACACCTCGCCCAATATTTTTCAGCTAACCTAATATGACACCGTAAACGGCAACTAAAGACACCATAACTACTATTATGAAGTTGCAGTAGGCCGCTCATTTCTGACAACATGCGGGCGGTTT